ACGTCATTTATTTTTCCTTGCAGAGCAGTGAACGGAAAGCAGGGGCCGAGGCTGCCAGAGAGAAAGGCGGAAGATAACCACCCCCCCAACCCCCCACCAAATGGAGTCACACCTTAAGCACCCAGCAAGACCCCCAAAACTAGACCTATCCAGCATCAGGCCTGACATGCGAGTTAGCCTTCATGTGTAGAATTGCAACGGGAACTAGTGCTGATGGAGTAAACATGACAAGTCACACGTAATGTTATATTTTCAGCAGTCAACATACCAGAAGTATTTTAGGTTTAACTGTGGTTCTTTGGGGGGGGGGGAGGCAGGCTTTTCATGTCCTTCAGCAAATGATTCTGAAAACTGATAACATGACTCAAGATTCCAAAGTCTAACCTCACCCTGCGCAGCGTTTGCAGAAAAGTGACAGCAGACACGCAGAGATGCTAACCCTGACGCGTGTCAGGCGAGAGCTGGGTGCGTGTTGCCAGGGAGCGCGTGTCCCCCCCCCCCAGCAGCCAGTCAGCTCCCTTGGCTACAAGGTCTAGAACGCCTGTGATCGATAGGCGACACCCAGAACCGAGATGTGATGCTCACAAGGCCCAGCCGATGTGGGGAGTGCAGGCAAGGGGACCGGCCTGGGAGGAGCGAGCGAGCGCACGCACACACACACACACACACACACACGGACACACACACACGGACACACACACACACGGATGGACACACACACACACACACACAAACTTGGCTGCTCATCCTCTGAAAACCCCGCAATAAAGAGGAGCAGATCCTGACGTCCCGCTAACTGGCCCGTAAATCTGCGACGCGGGATAAGCATGCAAAGAGCAGCCATTCATGCAGGACGCGCCGACATATGGCACCAGAAGTGGGTCCAGCTGTTTCCTCGTCCTGGGGTTGCCGTAATGAGTCTTAGAGTCTGCCGAACCGACCGTATCGGTGCTCCTCTCCGGCAGCACACCCCGCCATCGAAGCAGGCAAGCCAAGCTCGTCTTAAAAACGAGTGAAGCAGACTTCTGGGATGGTGAGCAACACCCCCCCCCCCCCAAAAAAAAAAAAAAAAAAAACACCACACAGAGCACTGGAAGGGATGTACAACATCAAACACAAAATGGAGACTGAAAGTGTGTATATTTGACACAAGCTCCTGAGGTCAGAAGTGTTTGAATGTCACCTTTGGCAAACAGTAGGCAGTTTGTGCTTGAATTCATGTGTATTCAGGTATAGAAGTGTGTCATACACAAACATGAGCACCATAAATGACTGGGGTCACCACATGTATAACCAGAGTTACCATCCTAAATACGATGCATAACAGTAGCATTATCCCCATCATCTGCCCCTATTGCAGCCCATTTTAACACACAGAACACTTCCCAGACTCTCCCACAATGCCTTGCATTCAGGAGGAACAGTCCAATGCACAAAAACGGGGGAGGCGGTGCCAATAAAGCCTTACTGAGGCTTCGGCTGCTGGGCAGACAACTTGTCCTCACCTCATCGGCATCAAAATCTATTGGAATATTAACTTTTTGGTCAGCAGCTGACCACCCCCCCCATACCCCTTTAATTCTCCCCTGCCTGCTTCTCCGGCCATGGGAGTGCCTGGTGCCCGGCTGATGGACCACAGCAGACCACCTGCGCATTCCCGATCTGTCCGTGGCCTTGGGACATGCAGTTTACACCATAACTCATCAATCGCCTTCATTTCCTGGGCCCAGTACGCGAACAGTAGTTTAAACGGCTCCATAACCCGATCGAGACGTGAATATAAGTGTTGATTTGTCATACGCAAATAAGTGACTTAAGCACGCTGGGGGATGCACGTATCACATGTCGCTAGCAATTACAGTAATATAATCCCTCTATTTTGTAGTTGTACTTTCTAACAATCAAAGGCCGAATCTTTGCGTCCAAAACTCTGTTGAGATTTTAAAAAACCTCGGCTTGATACTCAATGCAGTCTATCATTCTATCAATTCCAAACCAGGCAGTTTCATGCATTTCTGTTCATGGGAATGGACATGCCGAGTAGTTCTACTGGAGAAAAGAACAGATATTTCTTACTATAAGTCTGTTATTAAAACGCTGCCTGTGGGGGAGAGACCCTTACAAGGCTCTGCGAGCTGCCTGCATTTTGTTCTCGGCATTTCGGGCTGAGATGAAGATGCTCCGCTTACCCGGGGAATAGAGCTTGGCGAGCTGCCGGGCCCCGGCGTGCTGCGGTCCCCAGCGCGGCGCCGTGCTCCGAGCCGCCGCTCCGTGCTCGTTCCCGTTCGGGTCCTCTTCTGCCATGGACCGCTGTTTGATCTCGGTCTCCGACAGCAGCGCCGCCGCCGCCATCCCGCGTTCCTCCTCTTCGGGTTCAGCTACAGCGCATAAAGTGCAAACACGTGCCTTTTAAACGAGCGTCGGCGGCAGCCCGGAATAAGGTCTGAAAATGGGGCTTCTGTCGCTCCGCACTGATGCTCGCCGACGGCGGATATTATTTCGGAATATCGCCCAGTGGGGATGGACAAGTCTGCTAAATCATGACCATGCAATACCCGGAACAGCAAAGCGGTTAAGCAGCATCCGGTGTATTACTGCTAACTGGGATCGGGGAACTCCCGTTTGCCTTTTGTTTGAGTGTCAGACCTGTATGCAACAATACAAAAGCGGCGTCTTACATTTCACTGTACTTAAGCATATAGCCACCTGGCTAATAGGGGCCAGGCCCTATCTTACCCACCTATTGTAAACTTTCGGTCCGCTCTATAGCTCGGTGAGTTTCTTAGGGAAGGTCCTCATGTTCCCGTCTGACGTTGCTACTGTTCACACGGCGAACTAAACAAAAACCGATTACACAGATCGTTTCAAAGGAACCAAAAACTCGTAACTGACCGATAATGTTACAGGTAATAGAATGACATACCTGGAGATACCATGACTTCTGGTCATATTGAATGAGGAGTTCCTTCTGCCGTAGGAGAATTTGGTTGGTAAAACAGAGAGGATCCCTTGGCCCCAGCTCACCGGTCCTTATTACTGCGTTCTGCTCCATTGTCCAGCTGCAGCTTGCGACGGGGATGTGGAGGCAGCTGCTGCATAGCGCATGCTGATGGGTGAAACTATGGGAGAGCAGCTGCACATCCACAGGTGCAGTCCTTCTCTGGGCCGACTAATATATTGTTTCATGCGGTTGCCTGGAGGGTAGCCGTCAACTTCTGTCAGGCGGAGCTGCTTTAGGTTCCAATTAACGTTTCCGCCTTTGGTGTCTTTGTCACCCGCGGTTTTGCCTACTGTACTTTCGGTACCGTATTTTGGAATTTATAATGACAGGATGAAGTTTAAGCAAACCAGTTCAAATGCAGTCTTTTTGGGTAGATATATAGATATTTGATGGAATAAACATACAAGCAGAGTAGGTTTTTGCAATCAAAATATGATTTGTGAAAATCCACAAATGAAATGAAGGTTGAATATAGGAATTTCCCTCGGAGGGTAACCCCATGGCAGGTGCACTGCCGCCTCACTCCTGCCGGGATGAGCGTTTGAATCCCGCCTACACTGAATTTCGAGGTATATTCTCCTCCTGTGCATTTTTTCCTCCCACAGTCCACAGACACGCATGCAGTTAGCCCAACTGGCGCATATAAATACTTTTTTGTTTGTGAAGCCGGGTATATGTCCATTTTAATTAATCGAAATTTTAACTAGGGTGTATTACCTCCTTGTGATGTATACTACCTGTAACATTCCTGTTCAACTTTTTGAGTGAGACCCCAGCAGCAACAAATGCGCCCCTGCCTGTGACGCTCACCAGGAAAGTCCCCCGGCTTGTTCCCTAAGCTACCTGATAGAGGCTTCCGGGATCTCGAACCTCAGCCACAATGTGGTTAGACGGTGGCCGGCGACTGACGTCGTTTGTGTCTGCATGTCTACCGCCCTCTAATGGTGAATTAAATCCGCTCAGGAAAATCTCTTGGAGCTGAAAATATACTTACAGCTGATTAGAACTTCTACATTTGTATGATTTTAAGAAAACGCTTTTTGCTTGGCGTATATGTTCTTAAAATGATAGCTAAATTATGTTTTGCGGGGCTCAAAAGTCTCACGCATTGACTGTGAGACACACGCATTTACACTAATTCACAGGCTCACACGCCACACCTCGTGCTCCTCACGCTGCGAAGTAAAAAGCGATAACGGCCACCAAGGTGTCCCGTTATACAGGATTAATGGACGAAGCGCAGCCGTACGGAGCGGAGTTTTCCGCCGAATTCATAGCTGTCCCGAGTTATAATAACCACCTACCAGTCAATGAGAAAATATTTGTTGTTTCCGGGTAAATTCCAAACAAGTTGCGTTTGATCCCGCTGCAAGGTTATTACATGGATGTGCACACATGAAGGCGGTAGGCAGGGGTCTCAAATCACACGCATGAACCGAGAGACACGTTTCTCCCCTAATGTAATCTCACTCCAAACTTTTGGTGAAACTATATAAAACGCAAGACGCCCAAATTTAAGAAAACTCTGAAATGTGTTTCATGCTCAAACAAGTGGTGAAGCGCGCACTCATGTATTCATATATTCATAATAAATGCACTGGTTAAATCCCTCCTGATATAACAGTAATCCAGTGCGTTCCAGTCACTGATTACTGGGAATGGCCTCGACCTTCTGGCTAGCAGCAGTTAAGAGACCCAACTGCCGGACAAGCTGCCGCAACACATGGATGCAATTAAAGCAGAAACCGTTGTAAATTGTAGGAGCTCCATCAACCGACGGAAGCAATCGAGAGGGAGGTAAAACACCGCAGGCTGGCCCGGTTCGGCTCCATTCGGGGGCCGCAGGAACCTGCCTTTTGGAAATGGCGCTTGGCTATGCTCTTCTTTCATTTCACAATCATAAGTTTATCTGAATTTAACGTAACGCACAGCAAAATAAGAAAGGCTCGTTGTCAGAATTATGAAATACATAAAATATTAGCACTGGTCATTCTCGTTCATTGTCGTTATATATGGTATTATACGTACGGTCTATATTATAAATGTATTAATTATAATCTAACAATTTGTTTCACGCATAATATTTTGGCTACTCTTTTGATTTACCGCTTCGGATATTACACTTATTTTGAGATAGCAATATTATTAATGGGTTACCTACCATTTACATACCACTTAACCATTTCTGAATCACGTGACCGTCTGAAATGCACTGTGTAAATGTAAATGCGTGACGTGATCTCAGCAGAGCGGCGTCTGAACTCTGAAGCCGTCCACGCCGGGTGCGAATTAATTCTGCAGTAGCAGAATAATTTTCGATTTAATCCTTTCGACGCTGATTTGTTTTATTAAGCTTGGAACAATTTCGAGACCCTTTCTCTCTATTCGTCTCTATTTCATTTCTGTGGATTTAAAATCGGTCATTAAACCTTGTGTCTGCACGATAACCTACACAATCTTCATTTTTTTAGTTGATCAAATTGACTGGTAGTAGGCCTAAATTTAATATTGTTGTTGGATTACACTGCAACCAAAATATGCATTGAAAGTGTGTGTCAGCATTCTGTCCAGTTTAAAATATTGTTATTGTTACGCCTTATTATTCGCGATTTATCATTTAACTGAGTCTCTTCAATAGCTGAAAAATGAAAAGTCGATATCGAAATAACGCGTGGATTCACGTGGGATGAAATGTGAAACAATATTTCCACGTTCTACTAACACTCACTGAAGCGCTATGGCACTAGTCTCTCGCTTAATTCATGCAGGATTCTGTTTATGTTGGTTTTCATTTTAGCCGATTCCCTTGGTTTAATTGGCTCAATTAGTAGCTAATTATCTGTATTATTTATGTCAATGCAATTCCCTTCAGTAAAATACAGCAGCTCTCGAATACAGGGCCTGCAGTAATGGGTAGAGCTTTGTGATAGAATGGAGTAGGCCTATTTGGACAAATATTACCTTGTTCACTTTCAATGTTTGGTCAATGCTTCTACGGAAATAGAGCTTACCAATTAGTGCCGTTAGCTGGGGCCTCGTGGGATTCAAACCAACAACCTTTATCTCAGAAGTCCATATCCTTGAATACTAACAAACATATTAATGTCAAAACTACCAGGTTACCAGACTAATTAACATAAATAGTTATAAATGAACAGGATTTCACACGGGTGCTCTGTGAGAAAATGCACGGCTCTGATCACTCTGGAAGTGGGCCGGTGGTTAAATTATGGGTTCAATTATTTACACGTGGTTTATACCTGCGAGTTAAACTTTCAGGGTCCGAGAAAGAAGACTGACCAAAACGCACGGATTCCCTTTATTCATTTATTTATTTATTCATTCGTTTATTTTGTCTGTAGTAGTTAATGCAGTCTGGTCACTTCACATTTTAAAAGCAGACACCGTCCAGAGTCACGCAAAATCGATGATACTTATTTTTACAATAACCATTGTCATCAACTGGGAAATCCAATCAAAACTATTACGTTGTATTTTTCCCCACTTTATTCATTTTTTCCATTTTTTGTATTTTTTTCCGTAATTACAAAAAAGAAATAATAATAAAAAGAACATATTACGTTTGGCAAGCGATCACGACACGGCACGAGGACCATTTACTGCGAGAAATAAAAGGTACAAAAAATATATAAAAGCCAAAAGCAGACAACGAATGACAAAAAGAGGTGCGATCGGCACTTACTACAGCTCGATACATGAAGCAACAGAGGACAGGGTAAGCATTTCTAGACTGAAACGAGACGGGAGGCGTTTCTCTTATCTTTTGTTAAAAAAAAACGCACAACTGAGAAGCAGGATGATAAAAATACTGAATGGAGAATACCTTTCCCCCCTTCCTTTTGCCCCTTTTTCTTTTTTAATATCTTCCATTAATATTCATTTCCCACCGCTCATAATCGCTGCGCCTGGTGGCCAAATCGTTAAGAGTTTTACATGGGAGTAGCAAATGACACTTTGATTGGCTGTGATGTCGAAATGGTCCTCCCCCACTGCGTGGCGTCGGGGGCCGGGGCTGAGCCAGGAGTCCTGCGGGGCCGGATCTCACTGTGCGTGCTGACTCAACGTGTGGTTCTGGGAGGGAAGAGAGGAGAACCCATGAAGAGAAAAATAATAAGCTACGTGCCCACACCTCTTCCCCAGCCACTGCCCCCCCTCCCAACCCCACTCCCCAGGCTTGTCCATCCATTGCTAAGCCCCCGCCCCCTACGACACAGCCTAACCGCTATTTCAATGCAGGCGGTATAAATATCCCGCACAATGCAGCTGGCGCCACACGCGCGCGCACGCACGAAACGCACGCTCACACCTGTGCTGTATTTTTCAGGAAAGATTCCACAGCAATTTATTTATTCAATTACATTGCATTTAAATCCATTTTTAACCAATTTGAATATTTTAAAGCACCATCTGAATATCTTTTGAGATTTGTCCGCTTTTAGATCCCTTCACACACACGCGCGCGCACTTTCATTCCCATTCTCATCATTCCTAACCCCTGAATAATGTTCCTTACATGCTTCCCACACGGAAAGCAGGACATCAGAGAGGAATCATAGCAAGTTAACCGGTTAGACGACGATGGGATTTTGGCGACTGCTGAGGAATGGACAAAAACGGCCCTGCGCCTGGCACAATCCGGCGGAGGGGAGATTGTTTGGTAAATGCTTTGGCAAAAACGGGAGGGGGGACGCTCGCCAGGTCCAGCTTGCCTGACCTGTGCGCCGGCTTCACTAGATAAAAGGGACCAAAAGAAGTAAACTCGCCGTTTCCGTTCATAAATGTTTCGACCTGTACCATGAAACGCATAATTTACACACGAACGCTGCCAGACAGACACTTTTTTGTTAACATAGCAAACGTCTGATTCCAATGCCCAGCCCGACTGCACCCCCCCCCGGCCACTCCACCCCCTCGTACGGATTTGTGAGCGAAGGGCTCTCCGGTGATGGTTCTCTCTGGGAGCCACTGACCCCGTTACGAGAGCAATGCAATCCACTCCGAACGCGGCAGCCTGCAGTTCTGCCCTCGGCCAGTAGAGGTCATGCTTGTCCCTCCCTCAGACGCCGGCAGAAATGCGGGACTGCGGACGTCTGTCCGACGTTAACGTTTTAATCGAAGACTTGCCGGGAACGAAGTGCACGAGTGCAGCAACCCTGCCGTACATTGCACCTTCCTCCTAATTTCTTGGTACTTTTTGAATTTTTAATGTTTCTTTATTCATAATCGTTTTAACTATTATTATTATTTGCATTTTTTGAGTGGGGAATGACAGAGACCTCACAGAAAGCAAAATGCTCTGACGGGCCAGCACGAAGCCACTGATACCAGAGGTTTCCACAAGGACAACCATAATGACACAAAGAGCATTAAAAACAAGCATGTCCAGTAAATCAAGCTGAAAATCCTTTTGAGGATATTTCTATAATTAGAACCTGGTGTCAGACCAAGAGGACCATGGCACATGGGAGTGGCTGGCTGGGTCCAGCCTGAAGAGGTCTCACTATGTGACGCAAAGCGAAGCAGACAGAGCGGAGTGAGGTCCTCAAGCTGGTCCACTTTCATCACCCGGCCCGGCGCAGAGATGGAGACAGGCGTAATGGGAGGCACTTACTGAATGCCCGTCTACTGCCAATCATTCAGGGCTGCAATTTCCCTCCCCCCACCACATTACGGAATGTGACCCAGTGTGCCCACAACCGTAGGTAACCACCTTGGGTAATGACACCACTACCCAGCTGGTAAGACTGACCTCGGGGTGAGGCACTCCACAGCCGTCCGCAGCAGGGCATGCTTTCACTACCCTCTCGACTGCCCACACGCACAGAGACCGGCAGCGCCGGTGTAGCCCCGCCTCCCGCTCTCGGCCTCTCGGTCGGCTCTCTTCATTCGAGAGCGTCGTCGGCGGGGGGGCTCATCGATCTGGCCGTGGCCGATCGATGCTGCGACCGGTGAGTCTCTCTGAATCTGATAATGACTCTCAGCGTGACACAGAGCCTGGTGCAGCTGTAATTGATACGTCCCTCCAGGAGGGGGCGCAAGGCCACGAGCCTGTGCTGTTTAATCGGTGAATGTGGGGGCGGAGCCTGTCACCAGGCACCCGCCACACCTCCGAACCTCTGCAGCCAGCCCTACACTGGACCACGCTGCAAGAACTCTTAGTATGTCCTGATGCTAAAGTGACTAGGAAAACCAATGAGTCTGACCCAGAGCTCAGCAGAGGGAGGGAGCTGTGTGTGTGGAGGGGGGGGGGGGGGGGGGGGGGGGGGGTGTATCCCCAACAGAG